AACATACCATTATTAGTTAATATAGTGTTAATGTATTATATATTTGAAATCTGCTAAAGAGAATAAATACGAAGTGTTCTCAGCACACACACACAAATGGTAACTATGAGAGGTGATGAATACATTAATTAGTTTGTGATAATCATTTCACACTGTATACATATATCAAATACACCTTAAATATATATAATTTTTATTTGTCAAAAAAATAATAATTTATACCAAAATAAAAACTCACCCTTCTTCCCTGGCAAAAAACCAAATAAGGCAAAAGAATTGCCTTGATTAGACCTTCAACAGCACATTCTTGAGATAAGATGAAACATAACAGAAAACATAGTCAAGGGTTTACATTTTTTAATGTTTATTTGTTTTGAGAGCAAGCAGGAGACGGTCAGAGAGAGAGGAGAGAGAATCCCAAGCAGGCTCCACGCCACCAGCAAAGAGCTCAACACAGACCCTGAACTCATGAACCATGAGATCATGACCTGAGCTGATACCAAGAGTTGGACACTTAACTGACTGAAACACCCAGGCGCCCCTCAAGGGTTTACATTTTAAAGCATTGCTCATTTCATACTTCATTTTATACTTCACTCCATGGAGCTCTGATTAAATCAGTAGCTGCTTTTATTTGAATTTTTCATGCATATACACATCCGTAAGTTTACATGCAATATATACATTTTATATATATACACAAATATATATGTGTGTAAATACATGTAAATATAAAATGTCAGCTACAGAACGGATAGCAGAGTGGTGAAGAGTGGGGGCCCTGGACTCCTATACATAAAAGTGCATATCACAGCACCATCATTTTTTAGCTGGCTAATCTTGGATAAGATACTAAGTCACTGTGCCTGAATTTCCTCATTTTTATTTTATTCTATTTTTTAAAGTTTACTTATTTTGAGAGAGAGAGAAAGAGAGAGAAAGCACGTGTAAAGGGGAAAAAGAGAGGGAAACTGAGAATTCCAAGCAAGCTCAGTGCTGTCAGCACAGAGCCCCACACAGGGCTTGATCGCACCAACTGCAAGATCATGACCTGAGCTGAAATCAATAGTCAGATGCTTAACCAATTGAGCCACCCAGCTGCCCCTTTTTTTTTTAAAGTTTATTTATTTAAGAGAGAGAGAGGGAAAGCGAGAGCAGGAGAAGGGTAGAGAGGGAGAGGGACACTTACACTGAGCCACCCAGACATCCCTAAATTTCCTCATTTTTAAAATGAAGACAATAATAGTTTCTAATCTAATTTTTAAGATTCTCGTGAAGATTTCAAAGGATGATACATATAAAGAGCTTAGCACATTCAGCATTGAGAGGCATTATTATTTGTTTGCAGAAACTAGTATCAAAAGAAAATGATTTCTTTAACCTAAAAGATAATGAATGAATACCAAATGTCTTGAGATTTCAGTTATGATCAACTTCATATCAGTCAAAAAGAAAGGGGAAAACAGCTGTGTCAAAGGGGACCAGCTCAGAGTGCTTAAATTAAAAACAAAAATGTAAACAGGGCACCTGGGTGGCTCAGTCGATTAAGCGTCCAGCTCTTGATTTCGGCTCTAGTCATGATCTCACAGTTCATGAGATCAAGCCCCACATCAGGTTCTGTGATGACAGCATGGCACCTACTTGGGACTCTCTCTCCCTCTCTCTGCCCCTCCCCCACCCATGTGCTCTCTCCTCCTCTCTCAAACATTAAAAAAATGTAAACAAAACATAAAATTCCTCTTTACAACTAGATTATGGATGTCAAAATATTTTTAGAACAATGTATTGAAGAATGATCTTAATTTGAAAGTACCTTTGATTCTGCTTGGTTTATTCAAGTTTATGCTCAATAGGTGAGATTTGGATTTTTTTTCTTAAATGTTTATTTTTGAGAGAGAGAGCAGGAGAGGGGTAGAGAGAGAGGAGGACAGAGGATCTGAAGCGGCTCTGTGCCAACAGCAAAAGAGCCCAATGTGGGGCTCAAACCCCTGAACCATGAGATCATGACCTGAGCCGAAGTCACATGC